CCTGCGCTGGAGCCCACGCCCAGCTCTGCTGTCCCCACCCCCAAAAATTTAAAAAAGAAAAAGAAAAAAGAACCCTGTTCACTAATGTGCTGAATGTGAACGCCTTTGCCCTGCCCCCCGGCTCTTAACTCCCCACTGGGTTTCCGATCACTGTCAGTGGCAGGGGGCTTCTTCCTGCATTCCCTTTCGCCTCCCTGCATTTGTGCCTACTATGCAAATTAACCGCCATTTGTTGGCAGTTAATTTGCATATAGCCCTGATTAGCCAATGAAAAGGGTAGCAGCGTACGCCAATTACCATTTTTCTCTTTTATTAGTGTAGATAGTATTGCAAATGTCTCCCATTTTCTCCCTTTTTGCCCTCTCCATTCAACCCCCACCCCACCCCACCCCAGGCCTTCCCCATGCTATTGTCTGTGTCTATAGGTTATGCATGTATGCATATTGCCAGGGTGCTTGTTCCAGCATTAAGAAGGGTTCAGTAATCTGGAACAGGGGCTGGTGTAATTTAAGTAAGAGTCCAAAGACAAAATAGAATTTTGAAAGGCATTTGGGGGTCAGAGGAGCCTAGCTTAAGAAACTAAGATCTCCTCATCTCAGGACCCCATGCTTTTTATTAACACAAATTGTCCTGAGGTGAGGTGGAGATATACACTTCAAAGGATAGGGTTTTGTATACAGAGTCCATTGTGAGATTGGAAGTATTAGCCTACAGCTGTTCAGGTGTTTGGCCAGTAGGAGGCAATAACATGTAGATTAAGATGCCTTGAGCTGTCTGGCAGCAAACAATCAATTTAATGCATCCTTTTCAGGTTTGGGGAAATGCCTTCAGTCATTCCCAACAGGTGACAACATATGTGACTCAGCCCTTGTTGAGTCCCCAAGTTCCATCAACCTTTTGATGAAACTCTTGCAATTATGACATGCTGGAATTGGCTTCCGGCAGCATATATGTTCTTTGGTTAATCTCTTCTCGTCTCTTCCCACCCCAACCCCAGTTTGTTATTCTGTTATGCATCCATGTCTCGAGATGTATTTTATTAGTTTATTTTGTTCTTTAGATTCCACTTATAAGGGAGATTATGTGATATCTGTCTTTCTCTAACTGGCTTATTCACTTAGCATAGTATTTTTTTAAATGTTTTATTGATTTCAGAGAGAGAGATAGAAACATCACTGATGAGAGAGAATCATTGATCCACTGCCTCCTGCATGCCCCACATGAGGGATTGAGCTTGCAACCTGGGCATGTATCCTGACCAGGAACTGAAGCATGATCTTCTGGTTCATAGATTGATGTTCAGTCACTGAACCATGCTGGCCAGGCAGCATAATATTTTTTAAAGGAAACCTCTCATTTTAAAATTTGTCTTTAATTTTCTTTGTCTTAATGAACTACATTTGACTTGACTGTGTTACTTCTTATTCCTTGAAAAGCCACTGGCTTATGTGAGGTTTATATTAAACTAGTGACCTGGTGCAAGAAATTCATGCACATTAAATGGGAATTAATTAGAGGAAATATTTTAATATTGCTATTTGCCCTTTCTCTATAATGGAAGTGTCAGAGATGAAAGAAAATTAGTAAAATGTATATGAAAATCTTCCTCCTGTCAGAGTCTGGAGTGCACCACGGGAACCAGAGTCAAGTCCCTACCCACGTGAGCCTCGAAAACATACGAGACCCAGACCCGGCCAGCCCCAACCCCGTTGGGCTAGATCCAGACCCCCATCAAGCCCACCGGGTGGGGGGTGTGGCCTCAGGTCACCTGGCCCAGCACTGGGGTGGGGGGCGCGGCCTCAGGTTCCCCATCAAGCCCCGCCAGGCTGGGGGCGCAGCCTCAGGTCCCTCGGGCCGGGGCAGGGGCACGCCTTGAGGTCCCCATCAAGCCCCATGGGGCAGGGGCATGGCCTCAGGTCCCCTAGGCCGGGGCGTGGGGGCATGCCTTGAAGTCCCCCATCAAGCCCTGCATGGCGGGGGGCGGGGGGGCGCAGCCTCAGGTCACCCGGCCTGGCACCGTGGCGGGGGGTGCGGCCTGAGGGCCCCCGTCCCCCCCCACACAGTCAATTAGCATATTCCCTCCTTATTGGCTGTGGGCACAGCCATCTTTGCAATGGTGTGAGGGTCAATTTGCATATTCCCTCTTTATTAGATAGGATACTACTTCTCATGTATCCCCCTATGTTATTGAAGAGCTTCTGAGGGTGGGCAAATATAACTGTCTCTTACAGAGCTAGCTTCAGCTCTCAGTGGCCTAATTAATTTTATTGTTGGCATTACCAAAGGCTTCCCAAGTTTCACAGCATGCACTGCAATTATAATGCAGGGAGAGCAATCTGAGCAGAATTTATATCATTGATTTTTATAAAAAACAAAAGAGCAAACTCCTCCTTTTCCTACCTTCCCTAGCTATGTTCTAGTGGTTCTACTATTAGGAGAAGCACAGATTACTAAAGAAGGTGCCTTGATCAATCAGAGCAGTGGGATTTCGCATGCTCTGAATGTGTGTTATGCAAGCTTTTATTAATGGAAATTTTTCCTGTAGTTTCTAATTTCTTTGACCTATATTTAGAATGCAATTTATGTTGGACATTCACAGAAATATTGTGGACTGATGAATAATGATATAAAATACTTGTTTCTATAGATATTGCCTCTTCAAAGAATTCAGAAAATATGGATGAATTGCAGCTCCCTGAAGGGTTTAGGCCTGATTTTCATCCTAAGTGAGTACATTGTTTATTCCTTTCAAGCTTGGCCCACTTGAAATGAAAGCTAAGTTAGCAGTTAGTAAGAATATGATTTGTAAGCTGGAAGCAAAATATTATAGGACATTGATCTTGAATTCTGAGATTTAAGCATTGCATGATGATATTTATTGCCAGTATATTGATCAGAACCTAAGAATTACATGGCATGTTTCTCACCAACCTCTCCTAGTTCGAATTGCTGATTCCCTATTATACCCCTTTATCTGGCTTTCCTTACCAACACCTCATCAATACATCTAAATCCAAACTGCCCAGTTCCCCCCACACCCTGTGCTTTCCTAACTTCTGATCTCCATATATCTATTTATGGCCCCACCAACTTGTTAGTAACCCAGGATCAAATCTAGAATATTTTATCCTCTTTTACCCCGTAGCCAATTAATTATAAAGTATAGCATAAATTCTAGAGCAAGACTGCTTGGTTCGGTTCCTAGTAGCGCTGCCTACTAGCTGTGTAGTTGTACAAATTGCTTGATCTCTCTGTACCTCAGGTTCCTCATCTGTAAAGTATTATGAGGTTAAAGTGGCATAATACAGGTAAAGCCACCTGGACATTATTCCTGGCATGTACTAAGTAACACAATAAAAATAGCGCTTAAGTAGAAAAAACATCAGTCCTATGCCTCCCACATCCCCCCTACCTATCCCCAGTCCTGCTGTTTACTTCCATATTTCTAGTTACAACAGTTAGTTAGCTTCTATTTTGATTTATCATTTCTAAACTTTAATTTGTGTTGACTGGTTAGCAATTTAGTATTCAGCTGTTACCTCAACCCTACCCACTGCTCCTTACCAGTCTCCCTATAGAGTTCTTTCACAATTTTTGGTTAAATCCGTTGGCATGGTTTACATTATAATTGTTGCTACAGATACATGTTACGGGTTATAATTATATATTTTTTCTTTTACAATTTTGTCTTTCCTGTGGTTAATAATTGCCTTGTGTTTTTTTTCATGTACTTGGTTTTCTATAGGTGTCACTTTCCACCCCGCTAAATGCTACAATAGGTCTTTCAGATGCCTAGCAATTCCCCTGGCTATGTTCCTCTTATTTGGCTAGATCTCCTATTCTCCTCCTTACTAATTTGCATACAACTGCCTTAGGTAGTTTAAGTGGTTCAGTTCCAACATAGCAAATAGCTGTCAAGAATCTGAAACATTTGATGTGAGCACATTGTTTTGAGCTAATCCTCTCTGTGTTCATTTCAGGAACCCTTATTCTGATAGCATAAAAGAAATGCTGACAACATTTGGAACTGCTACTTACAAGGTGGGACTAAAGGTTCATCCCAATGAAGAAGATCCCCGAGTGCCCATAATGTGTTGGGGTAGTTGTGCATACACCATCCAAAGCATAGGTAAGAGATTTAAAGTCTCTCATTAAGTCACAAGCATACATGGACATGAGTTATGTGTAGAAGCCTGTATTTACATGACATGTTTAAAGTGGGCAATAATATGAAGACCTTGAAGTAGGAAATGCAACATACTGACAAAATATTAGATTGACAGGTTGTAAATTAACCAGCAACAGAGAACTCACTTTGGTGGGGATTTAGCTTCTTGTCAGTTGAGGGAATGTGTTTTAACTTTTACTTTTCATCCAAAGTTCATTCATGTATAATGACTTGGAAATTTCAAAACCTGACAGTACTGTGCTCTCTCCAAAAAAAATGTTTATACTATTTTTTGAAATCGTGATAAAATATACATACAGAATTTACCATCTTAATCACTTTTAATCTGCAGAAAGAATTTTAAGTGATGAAGATAAACCATTATTTGGTCCTTTGCCTTGCAGACTGGTAAGTTATTAATTTACTCAACTCATAGAATGGTAGAATGGAAATTCTTTGGTTCTGCTTTTTTCAAAGCTTAAAAACTGAATTGGTTATTTAGGCATAGCTTTACTCATTTCATAGTAAACCCATTTTCTATACTGATATTAAAGAAGTAATGTTTGTGGTTTAATTTCTAGTTTTGCTTTTTTTAAAAAAATATATATTTTATTGATTTTTTGCAGAGAGGAAGGGAGAGAGACAGAGAGCCAGAAACATCGATGAGAGAGAAACCTCGACCAGCCGCCTCCTGCCCATCTCCCAATGGGGATGTGCCCGCAACCCAGGCACATGCCCTTGACCGGAATCGAACCCGGGACCCTTCAGTCCGCAGGCCGATGCTCCATCCACTGAGCCACACCGGCTTTGGCTAGTTTTCCTTTTAAATAGACGTCAGCTCTTTCCATCTAGAGTTCTAGGTTAAACACATGGAAAGATGGGAAAACTCAAAGCAGAGTGCTTGTTCTCCACGTGCGACTGCCTTTCATAAGCGACATTGAGATTCAGTGCACACTGATGTCAAAACAGCGCATTTTATGCCTAGAACAATGAGGAAGGGAAATGTACAGTCAAAGATAGCTAATTTTCACTGTGTAGCTAGTGTCAGGTACATCATAAAATTGTCCTTAAGAGTAAAATCATGTCATTTGATTCATGTAGAATCACCCTGGTTGGGGTGTGTATGGGAGGCAACCTATCAATATCTCTCTTCCTCTCTCTCTCTAAAATCAATAAAAAAACATTTTTTAAAAGATATCATAAATTCAGTTGCATACCATTTAGAGAGATTTCATTGTGCGTCTAGCTTTGCTTCAATTGGCTGTACTTTGAACTAACAGTCCTCAAAAGAGAGCACTACTTCTTATGCTGGCTTCTTTGTGTCAATCTGTTTCAGGATGACTGTCTTAGGTCACTAACAAGATTCGCTGCAGCGCACTGGACAGTGGCATTACTTTCAGTGGTGCAAGGGCACTTCTGTAAACTTTTTGCATGTGAGTATTAATACATGTACCACAGATGTTATGGTAATTTTTCTTCTATAATTTTGTTTTTAGTCATGCAACTTCTCTCCATTACAAGAGAAATATTTTGGTAATACTGTTTGTTTTATATACAAGTTCTAGCTTATAAATCCATATATATCTTGCAAAAAGATAAATGTAAACTAGGTTATATACATTTTAAAAATAATACTTATGTTGGCATATGAAATGTGCTAATGTGTTTTTTCTTTAAATATTCAGCATTGGTACCTAATGACAATTATGGAGACCTTCCATGCATATTAGATATTGACATGTTTCATTTATTGGTGAGTATCTTGTAATTTGTGTTTGACATTTCCTTTATTATACTATAGAACTTTACCTTAGACTTAGTGAAAATTATAGAGGCAGACAAGAGGAGCTACCATCTTACCACTTCTGAATATAGTTCTTTCTGAGGGGCCTCAAAAAGAAAACATTGCTTGGCCTGTGTGACTCAGTGGTTGAGCATCGACCCGTGAACCAGAAGATCATGGTTTGACTCCTGGTCAGGACACATACCCGGGTTACGGGCTCGATCCCCAATTGGGGGTGTGCAAGAGGCAGCCGATCAATGATTCTCATCATTGATATTTCTCTCCCTCTCCCTTCCTCCCTGAAATCAATAAAAAATATATTTAAAAAAAATAATTTTTACCTCTCTATGCTTCTTGCCTACAGAGACGTAAAAATAATACTAGTGATTAAGGGTTGCTGCTGACCCATACAGTGCTATTGAGCAGATACAGCCCTGTCTGTGGTCACACTACTTAGCAATAGAAATCTCCTTTGTGTGATTTAGGGAAAGGCATGTCTTCTGGGAAGGCTGGTGCCAGGACACACCACTGGCTGAACTTCAGCCCCACCTCAAAGGCCCCCTTCCTCAGGACATTGAGTGCAGTGCCACAGGCAGCAGCCTCAAGTGCTGTTTCCTTAATTGCTTTGGCCATCAGATTCTTTAAGTTGGTTAGTACCTACCTCTTACAGTGTGTCAGTACTCAGTGGGATGGTCAGTGTAAGGAGCTTAGAGCACTGTGTCCCTAGTAAGTGTTAGCCTTTGTGGCTGTTCCCATCGCTCCTGTGAAACCACCATCGTATAGGCAGCAGGAGGGAATCGGAGCGCTAACACTTATTGTAGACCTGACTGCTTTTGCATGCATTCTTATTTAGTCCTTTACAGCCTGGCTGCTGAAGTGTTAAAAACACATGTACATCATCTGTAGCTTACTAACAGGGAAACTGAGACTCAGAGGTGTTAACTTGTCTAAAAAGCTCATAAGAGGAGCTGGAATTCATAGCTGGATCATTGTAGGTCCAAAATCCATGCTTTTCCACTGCTTGCTCCTAGAAAGATTTCAACTGTTTTTCGTTTGCTTGTTTTTCATTAGAATAGTTTTTTGACTTTTAGAGAGAGAGAGCAGAGAGGGAGAGAAAGAGAGACATCGATGTGAGAGCGAGACATCGTTCAGCAGCCTCCTGATGCCCCCCACTGGGGATCGAGCCTGAAACCAGGGCATGTGCCCTTGACTGGGAATTGAACCAGCAACCTCCTGGTATACGGGACAACACCCAACCAACTGAGCCTCACCAGCCAAGGCTATTATTTTTATTACTAGAGGCCTGGTGCATGGGATTCGTGTACTGGGCGGGGCGGAGGGGTGGGGGGGCATGGCCTGCAGGGGATCAGCCCGCTGCGGGAACAGCCACTCAAGCAGCTGTGGATCCACCCTCTGAGCTGCTGCTCCTGCTGCGGGAGCGCTGCTCTTCACAGTCATCAAGCGGTGCTCCCACTATGGGAGCGCACTGACCACCATGGGGCAGCTCCTGCATTGAGCGTCTGCCCCCAGTGGTCAGTGCGTATCATACCGACTGGTCAATAGGTCGTTCTGGTTATTCCACCATTCAGTCGCTGGGCTTTTATTATGTAGGATTATTTACAACTAGAGGGCCAGTGCACGAAATTTGTGCACTGGCAGGGGGGGTCCCTCAGCCCAGCCTGCACCCTCTCCAATCTGGGACCCCTTGGGGGATGTCTGGCTGCCGGTTTAGGCAGTCAGACATCCCTCTCAATCCGGGACTGCTGGCTCCCAACCACTCGCCTGCCTGCCTGCCTGCCTGATTGCCCCTAACTGCTTCTGCCTGCCAGCCTGATCACCCCCTAACCACTCCCCTGCCAGCCTGATCAACACCTAACTGCTCCCCTGCCAGCCCGATCGCCCCCAACTGCCCTTCCATGCAGGCCTGGTCACCCCCAACTGCCCTCCCCTACTGGCCTGATCGCCCACAACTGCCCTCCCATGCCAGCCATCTTATGGCTGTGGGCGTCACCATCTTTGAGGGCGGGGCAGCAATTAGCATATTCCCTCCTTATTGGCTGTGGGCACCGCCATCTTTGCAATGGCTTGAGGGTCAATTAGCATATTCCCTCTTTATTAGATAGGATAAATTCTATAGAGGGGAATCACTGGATAAATGAAATGATAGTGCCCATCAAGACTCTACTCTTAAGGAATTTCATTTAGCCAATTCAAGTGGGATTTCTAATGTATGTGCTATTTAAGAGCAAAGATTTCTTAAAGGGAGGAGCTGAGCTCCGAAGGGGGTCATATCAATAAGATGGAAACACGTGTAGGTGTGAAGGGAATGGCAAGCTGTGTGACACTCTGTGTTTGGTATCCAGGTGGGCTTGGTGCTTGCTTTCCCTGCGTTGCAGTGTCAGGACTTTTCAGGGATCAGCCTTGGCACTGGAGACCTCCATATTTTCCATCTGGTTACTATGGCACACATCATCCAGATCCTGCTTACCTCATGTACAGGTAACTCCTTTTTGTCGGCTTCTTGAAGGAAGTATTAAAGGAAAAGGTACTTGGATGAGAATAGTATATAAATTATAATTAGGCTACTTGTCCTTATTGTTTAATGTGACAAACTTTGAAACAAATTTCTTTCTCCTATTAAAATTCCTAAACAATGTGAGTCATTTTTATTTTATAAGTTTAGTCATATTTGAGTACCATAGACTGTATGTTTAGCTTATCTAGCTCACTGCATGCTACCTGGCACCCTGAATCAGCACAGCTTCTTCTCAAAGCCTGCAGGCTCCTTATTATGATGGAGAGCAATACTGTGCTCACACCTGAGGAATTTAAGTTCTGTGTGTTTTGTGGGAGTATTTTCATGCTATATTTGAGTGCTCAAATGACGTGGTCACCAACCCACTTAATAGGCAAATACAGAGTACTATTTCCTTTTCTTTCAGAAGAGAATGGAATGGATCAAGAAACTCCTGCTGGTGAAGAAGAATTAGCAGTTCTTGCTTTGTATAAAACACTTCGCCAGTATACAGGAAGGTGGGATCATAATCTTTAGATGATAGCATGAAAAAGGCACTTATTTGTAAATAGGGGAAAGTGCTGTGTGTTGACATGTTTTTATTGTTGTTGTTTTTATTGATTTTGGGAGAGAGAGGAACATTGATTGGCTGCCTCCTGCATGCCCCCTTCCAGGGATCAAGCCCACAACATGGGCATGTGCCCTGACCAAGAATGGAGCCTGCAACCTTTCGGTGCACAGGCTGACGCCCAACCAACTGAGCCACACAGGCCAGCCAGGACAGTTGATGTTTTACAAAAGAATTCTCAGAGCTTCTCACATTTACTTGGCCACAGAACCCTTCTTTTGCTTAGGATATGGCACATGGAGACATGGAATTTATTTTGGAAAGTGCTATTCTAGAACATTATCTCACTAGGAATTAAAAAGTGCAAATTAAATTGGCCTAATCTGTTTTTAAGGCAATATCAAGACTGGCAGGAATCCAGTGAAATTATTCGAACCTGACATATTGTTGGACCCCTTTTGAATTGGACAACAACTTCATTTAGCTTCCTCACAGTATATGTCAAGAACTTTTGTTTTGTTTTTTTACCAAATTATCCCATTTCTGAGAATCCACACTAACAAAAGAATGCAATATATGGATAAACCTGTCCAGCCAGCATGGCTTAGTGGTTGAGCGTTGAGCTGTGAACTAGGAGGTCATGGTTAGATTCCCAGTCAGGGCACATGCCTGGGTTTGCAACCTCGACACCCCCGTGTGAGGCATGCAGGAGGCAGCCAATCAATGATTCTCATCATTGATGTTTCTATTTCTCCCTCTCCCTTCCTCTCTGAAAACAATAAAAATATATATTTATATTAAAAACTTATAGGCATAAATGTATACACTCTGATGTTATTTATATTAGCAAAGAATTTAAAGCAGTCTAAGTGCTTGCTTGCAGGGGAATAATTTGGTATCAGTTATGATTGCTGTGTTCCAGAATATTGCATTTATGATATTCTGAAAAGCATGTTAATTTTAAATTTAATATATTAAATTATAACTAAAACCAGTTAGTATGAAAATAGTTTGCCAAAATAGTGCCTGCTGATAAAAATTCTAGAATAGTGGATAGTTTTTATTTTCTGATTTTTCTTTTTATGTTATTATAAATTTTAATAACAGCATTTGAAGCTATATCACCATGTTATTTTATTATTCGTTTTTACTTTTTAATCCTCACCCGAGGATATTATTTCCATTGATTTTTAGACAGAGTGAGAGGGAGGGGGGTGCGGGGGAGGGAGAGAGAAACATTGACATGAGAGAGACACATTTATTGGTTGCCTCCTGCTTGTGCCCTGATGTGGCCAGGGGATTAAACCTGCAGTGCCCTTGACCGGAAATGGAGCCTGAGACCCTTTGGTCCACGGGCTGACACTCTAACCATGGAGCAACCAACCAGGGCTATATCACCATTTTATAACTGACATTCTATTATAGTCAGGGCTACCCACATTATGCTGTAGCTAGAATGACCTTTTCTTTTAAATTTTTCTATTTTCATTTTTCTCTTAGTGCTTTGAAAGAAATACCCTCTGGCTGGCACCTGTGGAGGAGTGTCAGAGCTGGCATCATGCCCTTCCTGAAATGTTCTGCTTTGTTTTTTCATTACTTAAATGGAGTTCCTTCCCCACCTGAAATTCAAGGTAACTTCTAATTTCTTTCAAAATGTAGGAAATGTATGTAGTTTTTCACTCTAGCAGCTTAGAATTAAGGTAACTTGCAAAAATGAAAACAGATTAAAAACTTAGAATATAGCTAATTGACTATGGTGATGTACACAATTATAGAATAAAAATGTGTGTTTATATGTCTGGGTTTTTTTAATGTATTTTTATTGATTTCAGAGATGAAGAGAGAGGGAGAGAAAGATAGAAACATGAATGATGAATCATTGACTGGCTGCCTCCTGCACATCCCACACTGGGGATCGAGCCCACAACCCAGGCATGTGCCCTGACTGGGAATCGAACCATGACTTTCTGGTTCATAGGTCAATGCTCAACAAATGAGCTACGCCAGCCAGGGCTATATGTCTGCTTTTATTGGATCTTAGTAATATGCTTTCTGTATGTTTACATGTTCTAAAGTACACTAATTTTGCTTTCATATGTTAAAATGTCCAATTATATATTATTCATAAACTGGGTTCTTTGGCTTTTAAAAAGTGAAAACTATTTCAAGTGTTTTTTAACTTTCAAGTTCAGAATATCCATATTTGCATATAAATCTGGTTTTAATGTAGGAATTCGTTTGCTATTTCATGGTTGTTTTCTGTGTTCTATTTTGATTCATTTCATGAAAGTAGTGTAAAGGCAGATTTAAAGTTTACTATATCTATAGAGCCTGGCAAAGGGTGCCTGCGTGTAATGCTGCTCTCTGAGTTTGTTGACTTGCATCTCCATTCAGCTAGTTGCCCAGGCCCCATATAGACTGATTTAGACTTCCTAATCATTTACAGGGGTGATTAGAGTAAGTGTTTCAATCCGTCTCCCATGGTGAGATCATCTTATATTCCTGGGCTGCTTTACACTGTTCTGGAGCACTCAGGTGTTGATTTGTGATTTACTGTTTATAACTAACCCCAAGAAGTAGTCATGCAGGTAAACCATTTTGCAAATGGTAAAACAGACACCAAGGAACTATAACCAATTTGACTTAGGAGTCACCTGACTCCACTCTGAATTGTGTCATTTTTTGTGGGTCCCGTCCATGTGCCATCTTGTTAACTTCCTACAAGTTAATGTACCTAGCAATTTTGAACTTTCCTCATGCTTTTTTGTTTTTAAGCTCTGCTATTGCTTACTCCAATACAGGTTCTACTCCTAGTTGTTATATGTATTACTCTTTTCTTCTCCATTTACAGTTTCTGGAACAAGCCATTTTGAACATTTATGTAACTATCTTTCCCTGCCAAACAACCTCATTTGCCTTTTTCAAGAAAATAGTGAAATAACGAAATTACTGGTTGAAAGGTAATAATTATACACTTTTTTAAAATTAACATTGAACGAAATTATATGGAAACAAACTTCAATTTATCACAGATATTGCAAAATTCTCAAGTAGTGAGCTTGGAAGAATTCAGCCCGTGTACTTTAAACTATAATGATTAGGCCTTCTTACTTAATGATTTACCTTTATGGTAAGATTTTTGCCAAGCTGCTGAATAACATAAGCAGATTTGTTATTGTAACAAATAATACTCCAGGAGAGTAGTGGTGGAAATGGTTATTTCCTCTGATCAACTTACTTATTAAGGACTCAGTTCCATAAATTTGGGGAACTGAAATGTACCTTAAGGATTACCTAGTCCAATACCCTTAGTTTAAAATGTGGCTGTTTTAAAACAAAATAAAATTTGGCTGTTTTGCCCTGGCCAGCGTGGCTCAGTTGGTTGGAGCTTCAACCCCGTGCATTGAAAGGTTCAGGTTTGGTGTTTGGTCAGAGCACATATGCGAGGCAGCTGATCAGAGTTTAAAGTAAAATTTGGCATTTTCATGCACAGAATGAGAAAAGATATTTTCAAATCATATATCTGATAAGGGATTAATATCCAGAACATGTATATCCAGAATTCCTATATCTAAGCAAGAAAAAAGCTAACAACTCATTAAAAAATGACCAAAGAAAAAAAGTTTTTCAGAAAAAAAATTTTAAAAGCACAAAGGATTTTTCCAGAGAACATTTACAAATGGCCAATGAGCACGTGAAAACATGCTCAAAGCCACTAGTCATTGGGGAAAAGTAGATCCAAACACCAGTGAGATACCACTCACACCCATTGGGACGGCTGTAATGAAAAGGGCAGGCAGCAGTAATATGTGTTGATGAGGATGTTGAAAAATTGGAATCCATGTACATTGCTGGTAGGAATAGAAGGCGGTGTAACCACTCTGGAGCACTCATGTTCAGAGCCAGTATCGATCAATAGCCGATATCCATCAACAGATGAATGGATAAATGAAGTTCTGATATAAGCCATAATATGGATGGACCAGTCAAAAAAGGGCACTATCTGTTTTTACTTATTTGAGGAACCTAGGGTAGTCGAGTTCATGGAGACAGAAAATGGAATGGTGATCGCCAGAGGCTGGGGAGATAGGACTGAATTACTGTTTAACAAGTACAATTTGTCAAGTTGGAAAAGTT